TTTTATAAGATCATTATTAAAGAAATTTTAGAAAGTCAAAATTTTTAATTTCGTAATTTATTACAAATATTTATTTCGTTGTATGATGATATTTTTATAGGAGATAGGTACAAAATACATAGGAAATCTATAAAAATAAGGGAAAAGGCTTATTTTTTATTAAAAATTTGATAACATGATCAAATTATAATTGACCATATGTAAAAATAATTTTATAAAATCACGATTAATATATAATAGCATGAATGAACATTTTCTTGAACATTAATAAAATAGATAAACCAACTTTTAACAAATAACATAAATAAATTTTTCTAAAAATTTAATAACGTATTTGAATTTTTTCTCGAAAAATAATAGGATAGAAATAGTATTGAAACTACAGCAATGACACTTGAGCTAGGGGACAACACCATGGCCCATCTGCACATATCTCTTTGCACTTTTTTCTTTTCAAATTGGGTAAGATGGAACAGTTTACTCTTGTCTCAGCACTGATTTGAAATTAGAGTCTACTAGTTATAATTACAATATTTAGGTATATGTCCTTAATTTTTTGGACTTTTTTGTCTTCTACTATTGGATCCGTCACATCTAATTATAATAATAATAATAGTGTAACATTAAGTACGTAATTAGAGTCATCTTGAAACAATTTCCTCCCTCAGTAGCCCAAAAGTAAAGCACTTTTTCTTTATTTTAGTTTCATGTCTATACTTTATATGGTACCATTCACTTGTATTCGTATAAATATCCCAAGTCATCCTCCCATTTGATCATGTAAAAAAACTTGAAAGAAAAATTCCATCATTAAATTTGTGGATCTCGATATTTTTCTTTGTATTTAAACTTACTTTCTGAAGTAATGATATGTACTACGTATATTTTATCCTTTAACTCTATTATTATTATTGAATATTATTTAGTGAATTCTGTTACACCATCAATAGAGGGGCTTAGAAAACGGACAAAGTACTTTTTCTTCTTATTAATATCCTAGCTATAATTATAGAATGTCACTTTTTTTACTCTCCTTTTCCTCTACTGTCAATTTAAACACTAAAAAGTTTGCTGAATAAAGTTAGCAAAACCTCTACAACTCTTGTTTTAGCTGATTTTGAGAAAGTTAAAACTGAACTATCCTAAAATAGTTCCATGAGTTCATGAGTATGATAAGGACAAGTACTTGTGGGGATTATGATGGATTTGAAATATTATTAATCAAGTAAAGGCTAATAATTTTTTTAATAAAAACGTATTACTTAAAAGATCTAAAAAAATGGACATTTGACCTAACTCATATTTCAAAAAACTAAATAAATTGAATGAGGATTACTTAAATCTTATAAGGAAATCATTATTGCATCTAACAGAAAATTTGATCTACGACGGAAAAAGAAGCATAATATACACACTCCCTTCATTTTAATTGTTGTAAAAACAGTTTGGTCCAAAATAATTATATCCTTCGTCTCCTTATAACTTAATTTATGTAATAGTATTTTTATAATTTAATTTATATAATGTTATTAAGCTAAACACGAGGTTTAAATAATGAAAAGCAAACTTTAATAAATAAAGATAATAATTAATAATTTATTGCTACTTTTATCATTAGAGCAGGCAGTAGGTAGAGACGATATACTCACGTCTCTTATTTATTTCTTTTTTCGTAATTTGGACTTGACGGTTTTGTCGTGTTATGATGTTTCAAAATTACAGTTAATTAAGGGTGGAAAATAGGAATAAAAAACTACTTGGGTGTAAATTGTCATGTACAGTTGTAAAGTTAGGATAGCTGTGACTTGTAAAATACAAAATTCCGTTTTAGCTAGTCGGTAGATACACTTTTACTAGGGTAGGCAAAATCGAAAGTTAAATTAAAATTTGACCTTATTATATCTTCGGTTTAGATTTTCGAAATACATATCGAATTGGTTTTAAAATATACTAGTAAATGAGTTACGTAAATAACAACCAAAGAATCTAGTATGGTTTTTAATCAAATATCTCAATTTAAATTTTGAGTATAGAAAACCTGTATAGTAAAGAGCGTTACAATGCTAATGGATAGTACAATATGTTTTTGTCGCCATTTGAGGAATTTATGGCAGTGGTCCTTATGGAAGCATATACCAAAAGCATCAAAAGCTTTATGTAGCTGATCTGTAATTGACTATAGATATCATCGTATGAAAGCAACCTTAATTGGTTGAACACTTGATTTGGATAAGAAGAGGAATATGACTGATCAGACAAATTTCTACCCTTTAACTCAAGTAGGCACAAGACATCTTTGTCTTGATTCAGTTGATTGTTTAATTTCATGAGTTACGGCGGCGGCGGCGTGCGTCGTTGTATGGGAGGAAAATGTTACATTTTCAATGGTACCACTAGCATGAGCCAAACCCTAGCTATAGCTAAGAGAATTGGGTAGATGATCAGTTGTGGACCTGTTATGTACGCAAGTGGCTCATGAATTTTGACTTTTCTATTACATGATAATATATATATATATATAAGTTGGAACCCAAACCACAATACTTCAAACCGACTTTTGGTTCATTCATATATATAAATAATGAGTCAGATTTTTCACTAAATGATCGATTAAAAAATTTGATCAATATAATTTTTTTTTATTAAAAGCATCTTACTTTAGTGTATACGAGTTTTTTCTATTGTCTTTGACATTGAAGAATACTAAAAGAAAAGAACTTGTGGGCCAAAAAGTTGAAAATACGTACGACTTTTGTCATAGACGTTTCAAACTTGAATTCCTTAGTCTACCATATTCAAAGTTTTTTGTTTCTCTGAATTGTCTACCATATTCAAAGTTTTTTGTTTCTCTGAATTGTGGAACTTCACTGTTTCCTCTCGTGAAATACGTTGTGTCAAGCTTGAAATGTGTTAGCTAGGCCACGCTAGTTTAAATTAACACCCCATGCTAATTACTTATACGATGACTTTGATAAGTGTTCTTAATTATACTTTGGACTTAGCAGACGAGACTTAATTGGTTAATAACAGAATTAAAATGGTCCACAACTCATTGGTTCTTTTAGGTTTTTTTCATCAATGTGATGACTATGGTATCTATTTGTAATTAAGTTTCTTACTCTATTAGTTTTGCCTTTGTCCTAACATCCTAAGTATGTTAGGTAAGAAAATCATTTTAAAACTCCTGTTTGGACAAACTTTTATATATATATAATTTTAAAATATTATTAATAACAATAATTAGATATTCATTGATGTAGTCCTTTAATTTCACATGGCACATATAATCTGAGCATGAATTTTTAAAATAAAATATTGAAGTCATGTTGCAAAACCAAAATTAAATTTTTTAAATAAAACATTGAAGTCATGTTGCAAAATCAAAATTAAAATCACAAACTCAAATTTAAAATCTCACGTTTTGAAAAATTTGGGATAGTCCTAATTTAAAGTTAAAGTAGAAATTTAGTACGAATTTCATCAAAACCAACACTACTTTCAAATTATAAACCCAAAATTCAATGACAAACGCTTACCAAAATAAGGTAAAAAATTAATGAAAAAAGATAAGTTATCAAAAACTGTATCCTTATCTCATGTAACGTTTTGAGATAAGAATAGAAGAATTGAATATATATGTAGAGAGAGAGAGGGGATGGAATGCCATGTATACTTGTGAACTTTAACAACTCGAAGGGTCAACAATCAACACAGCTCTTCTACCGGTGAGTACATAGAGAAAAACAATTTTATTAGTGATCTCTATTTTTTACTTTCGTGCTAACAAAATTGTACTAGTATTTGATATCTTCATGCCAAATCTAGTTGAATCCACCACTTCCTACTTTTTCATAATCAGCAATCACTTTATATATATATGAAATACATTTTTTTTAATCATATTGATATATTAATTAGTTTATCTTTATTTAATTTACTTTAGAAGATCAATTAAATTGATTTTTGAAGTGAAACAAGTAAGAACCGTGTACCTTTTCACGGTGATAAGACCGCAAAGACAGAATATTTCATGTCTTATGGATGTTTCCAGGAAGCTGCCCATGTGAAAAGATCTTTTGGGATATTACTGAAGAACTAGAAAGCAAATTTATAATTTACCAAAACTCTAAATAATAGCAACAAATAAAGAACTGACAGAAGTAAAAAGATCAGAAATAGATGAGTTCGATTTTCAGTTTATCTAGGGTGAACGTCTTAATAAACTTTAGTGATTTATAGATTTAATATACACTTTGATATTTCAAACCTTATTCACTATGTTTTTATTTATCAAATCTTTTTAGTGAAAATCTTAAATTATTAAGCGTTTAACTTAAGTTGGCGTCAATAGAATGATTCGGAGTCTCTTAATGCGGAATCGGCAATGCATCGAAAAGGACATTACAGAATACCATTGTCTGTTGCCAGCTCAGTGGCATTTCCGTTTTCTTGTTTCCACACTGCAAACTTATAATTTTGTCCAACCAACTTCTAAAGTTCTCTTGTTGTAATTTTTATAGTGTTTCATCTTCTTGTCACTCGTTAATAGAAAATTTTATGAAATTAAACCACATGTTTTGTAATAGACTTATAGTGAATGCAATTTTTGGTCTAACCTCAAACGTGCTTGAAGCAGAGTTTTAATACCTTCATCACAAATGCTCCACTACAAAAACGAAACAAACATATAGATTGGTGTTTGACCACGACTTTAATTGCAAAATTATAGTCATTATTCGCATGATTGAAGTTTTGGCCATCATTACTTGCAAATATTGGACTTTAGTAGTTTCAATTTTTAAAAAAATATTGATAAAATAGTAATACGCTTAATTAAAAACTATTCATTCATAGAAAAAAAAAAGCAATCTTTTACCAATGGGGAAAAGGATTACTTCAATAGGGTCCCAACACTTCCTCCGTACATTGACCGGGACAGTGGACGTACCTTTATTCTGTACACATTTCTCAGTTTATAAATTCATGCCCCTCTGTATGCTTTGCCTCACAACTCTTCTTTCAGTTCTCTGTATTTCCATTTCTTTCTTAAATTTACCAATACTTCTTATCATTTTTTTAAGCATATTTTTCTCTAAACATAAATTGTTTGTTGCACTGTATGTTTGAAGGAGAAAATTTGAATTATTATCAGCAGAGAAAAAACAATGGAGAATCAAAATTATGCACCGGCCCATTCAGACCCGTCGCGGCCTTCACTTGGGTTCCCTCTGGGAACTGCGCTTCTATTGCTAATAATATTCAGCTTGAGTGGTATCTTCTCTTGCTGCTACCATTGGGACAAGCTTCGATCTCTCCGTCGATCCTTCGCCAACAGCACAGATCTCGAAGCCGGCGGAGACCCTTCATATTTGAAATCTAAACGAGCATACATGGTAAGATTTAAAATTAGTTGGATCGGCTATATGAATCTATTCAATTTTAATTTAATCTCAGAATTTTACCCTAAAAAAAAAGAGTCTAATTGGGCTATTGCTGAATTTTATGGTTGCTCTGTTTTACAGAACTGTTACAATTTTAATTTATTCTCAGAATTTTACCCTAAAAAAAAGTCTAATTGGGCTATTGCTGAATTTTATGGTTGCTCTGTTTTACAGAACTGTAAGCAAAACCAAATCTCAGACATGCCAGCAGTGTTAATGCCTGGAGATCAAGTACCCAAGTTTATAGCATTGCCATGTCCATGTCAGCCTCCTCGACCGGACAAGGTACTTGCAGAGGTTCAGCAGCAGCCGTCATCTCCAATGAAGCCACCTCCTCATACACCAGTACGGGCAGTGGCAGAGGCAGAGGCAGAGGATGTAACTTTCACTCAAATTCGTAGTACTTTTTACTTGTAACTATAAATTAAATTTAAATCCGCAATTTTCTAGTACATTTTTACTCTTTTTGAGACTTGGATGTGGTATATAAAAAATCTTTTATGGTGATTGTAGTAAATAGTGAAGTGTGTGCAAACAAAATCTTACATTTGTATCTAAAAAGAAAATAAGGTGCAAGGATATTTTTAAAAGTATAAGACTTTTTGACAGAATGGTATGGATTGGATTTGATCCCAAAGTGTAATAATCACAGCATGTTAAGTTTGTGTTTGATGCAAGTTGTAGCTAGGGGTGTAGGTTCAGTATTCAGTTTGAAATTATTAAAGTTTAACGTGGTAATTGATAAATTAAATTTTGATTTTATATAGTATTTAGTATTGTCGTATTGAAGTTGTAGCTAATTATATTACAATGTTAATAGAGAGTACTATTTTTCCAATTATTTCTATTTTTATACGTGGAGAAATGATATGACAGAAGAAGAAATTGATACAACTAAATGACATCTATTTGGGTTTTTCTTTTCATTCTTTTAACTTTCTTTTGTACTAATGAGTATTGGATATGTTGATACATGATCTTTCATTAAATAAATAATTTTGTATTCGAGAAATACAAATATCAAACTGTACTAATGTCTCATACCAAAATCAAACCCGAATGCCATAATTCTGAAATTTTACTCTCAAATACTATAGCAATATCTAATTACCAGACAACAAATTATCAAAAATTTTAATTCGATTTTCGATAGTTTATTTTCAACCCTAATTGTAGCCAATAACCAAGATCAAAAGTAATAGTGATGAGATAAATACAAAGTGGCAAACTGATAGACATATAGGTTCGAATTAATGTCTTTGTCCGTTTATATGAGTCGATTTATTATCTTTACTCATAATTTTGTGGACTTGTAAGCGTAATAGATGTCAATGAGCATTTAATCATGAGAAAAAATATTAGAATGATGTAATTATGATAAAAACTAAACCTCGGACATAGATGAAATTAATCTCAAGATGAAGAGATGTTAGATTATAAAATAAAGTCCACATTTTAAAATGAAAAGGAACAAAAGAAAAATAAGAGAGAGAAGATACTCCGTATGAAGCTGTAATATAATATTAGATCGGGATTTTTGATATCAATAAATTAAGTTTTTGATTTTGATAATGCATGTATAAATTCTTTGCGTCACTAAATTAATATGATATATAATAATAGAGGAGTAACTCTTAGTCGCAAGTAAGATACTTGTTACGTGAAATATGTAGAATATCAACAATAATCTACTATGAATATCGATAACAATGAAACTATACTCACCATGTTCTTTTCTAAGACTATATATATAACTTAATTCCCTTAATTTTAAACTCCTTTTAATTGATTGCTTTAAGATAATAATCAACTTACATTACTATTTCAATACTTGCAGTTATGTTGCAAATATTTCTTTATACTATTACTATAGTTTAATTACTGACTACTTTAATATAGTCAACTTACATTACTAGTTTGATACTTTAGGATAATCTTTTTGAAAAAGGACAACTTTAATAATGCCAAAAAATTTTACATTATCAATATAAATTTGTTATGATTCTACTTTTACCACTCAAAGATTTCCTCTTCTAGCAGATTCGTGCTGTCTTTATCATTCAATTTATGCGAGGTCTACTCGATGGTCGTAGTAATAAAAAAATCATTTTTACAAAATCAAATATTTTACTTTGGACAAGTGTTCAAAGCAACTAGAATTTGATTAGTAGTCACGTAGCACATACACAACACAAATGATGGTTGATTATAAAGTGAAGCGAATCACTCAAAATTATCAACTACAAAATCAGGTAAATATTTGAATATTACTATTAGAATATAATGAATTAGCAGTAAATAATATTTTATAGCTAAAATAAAAAAAAATTTATGCCAATCTCAAGATATTAGCTACGAATTATAAGAAAAATCAATTAGTTAAGATTAACGAGAGACTACTTACAAATTCAGTAGTTAATTCCATATTTTGTAGAAGCAAATATTTATTCTATAATTCTATTCCAACCGGTCAAACTCAAACATATCTATTTTTATAAAATTTGAAGTCCAAACCATTTTTTGGTTCTCTGATATCAAATTGATTGATGTGTCAAACAGTTTAATATATATATTCGTCAAATTAAATTTTAATTTATATATACAATATAATTTTCTAACGAAAGTCGTTTGATACCTCTGCTCTCTGAGAATAGTAACAATCAATAGCCCACTAATGGAGTGTATGATGATTAAGGCAAATATAGTAAAAATCACATAAAAGAAGAGGAGAAGTAGAAAGTTAAGGGAGATAAAAGTGACAGATGGAATGTGTATTAACCACTTTATTTTTTAACTCAGACCTAATTTTGCTGTAGAATGAAAGTGGCCCTTTTCTTGCAATTATAAGTTGCACCACTTAACCATGTGCTTCCGTCATTCCTAATGATTTTGCACTTTGTTTTTCTTGTCTTTTTTTTTCACTATACATATAAACTTTGGTGTTTTTTTTTCAACCTTTCACCATCACGACCGAACTTGCTTACCTTGCCGCTCATTCTCTTATTTGACCTTTTTATTAACCAATTTTTTTTTTTTATAGTTTTCGCGATTAAATAATATATAATAATAATATTTTTCTTAATAATTTTAAATATAAATTCATTCATATTCTTAATTATCAAGTAGATTCACAAATAATCGTTTCTCAAACTTTGAAGTTTTTTAAAAAAAGTCATATACATTTATTGTTTGTTTTTATTTTTTTCCACTTTCAAAGTATGAAGAATGAAAACAAATTGTCAATAAATTCCACTTGCTTAGTGCTTTTTTACTCTGCTCAAATATTCAATCTTTCTCCATTGAAAGATGTAGTTGGGATTGGTTGAAAAATTCAAACACCCAAGTTAAAGTGTGTGACTATCCTTTAGCTGACAGAAGTATGATATTATTTATTTTATCATGTATAAACTTAATTCAATTTTCAATACGATAAACATGTCAAACTTCTTCCAATAACTTGATATCAGAAGATTAGCCCCATAACTAATCAATGCTAGTAAATAAAGTAACTTGCAGCTATTTATACAATTAATTTTGCGCATAAAATTTAAATTAATAAAGCATTGTAGAAGAAAATATAGAGAAAATAATATTTATGCAGTATTTAATACGCATTCAAACCAGTTAGCTAACAACCCTTTAGGATTCGAAAATGTACGGATATTAATTAGAGCAAGTTGCTCTAGGACCCGGGTTCTGCGAATCGTTCTGGAAAATGACATTTTAGGGGGCAACTACTAGTGCCAACGTTAGTGACCATATCAATAAAATAATGTAGATGATGTAACCATTAATAAGAAATTTTGGTATTCTTAAAAATTAATGTATTAAATATGTCATAATAACATTTATGTGGTTGTAAAAAAAATTAAAACGTGTACTCACTGTCTATCAAAGCTCCACCTACGGGTTCCCTGTAGTTTTAGCTTATACATTGTTTTTGTATTAAAATTGTCACTCAAATCACTTCTTAGTGTAAGTAATTATTGTTATATAAAAAAATTGTAAAGATATAGTACATGGTTTAACTCAACTCCAAACACTAATGATTTGTTCTAAGGAGATTGATCAACAATTTATTTTTAATTAATATAAAACTTTTATCCATTCTAATACTCCCTTCACATCCTATCCCAATTGACACGCATAAATTCTTCTTATTTTGTGATTATGTAGTTATATACATCATCATATTTATATTTATGTCAAACGCTATTATTGCAAGTCTTATATTTTAATCATATGATCAAAAGTCTTTTTTATTTTATTAAAGACTGTGCCAAGTTGAATTAGACTATTATTATTAAAACGGAGTAATTCTTTTTCTCTCTCCTGTAATTCTATACATTAAATGAAAGTTGCTTTGTAATAGTGGAGCAAGATTCTTATTAGTGGGCTTAAAGCCAATCATGAAATTAGGCAGATAAACATGACAGCATTCATTCATTTTTTTTAATTATTTTTGTTATAGCTATACCACTGGCTCCTTTAATTTTCAGTAGACGCCCATAGAAATATATCAGTGGGGGTTTTCGAATTCTCACGCATTACCCATTTTTCTTTCGACTCTTAATAGTATTATAATTGTTCTATGACTGTCTTTGTTATGAGTTTAGTACAATAACAACTAACAAGATCTCTTTTGATCCTCGTTGTATGCTTGACTAATTCGTTTTAACACGTTTATTTGGAGACTAGTAATTTCAAGAGAGAAGTTTTGAAGCACCATTGCTAAAGAATTAATTTGATTTGATCTCAGTTTTTTATTTTTTTAATAATTCATGGATCATCCGTCATTTAGTATTGGGATTACTCAAATAGTCACTTCAAACTTTAAATAAATCTATATTTATGAAGATCTGAAATTGGTTGAAAACGAGTCTAAGAGCTTGCATAATCTTTTAACAATGGATAAACAAAGTTCGAAGAAGCATAAAACACAAAAAGAGGCACATGCAAAGACACTCAAGAAGAGGGATAAAAAGCTTACAATCGCCATATCCAGACCTCCATTGCCACCGGCACGTATTTCGATTTTATATATTTTTTGTAATTTCTTTTGGTCACATGCAATAACTTTTCTGTATTATCAGAAAAAATATTTTTATATTTTTCAGATTATTCATTTGATACAGAAAATCTTAATTTTTTGTACATTTTGTTTATTAAGTATGACTACCTCTTGCTTCTTTATTTCTATAAACACCTTCACACCCATATCATTCCTAATTATCATCGGAGAAGAATTGTCTTCTACAATATATCGGATAATATATATATTTTTTCAATTCATCAATATTTAATTCAGTAGCAATGACTGAGATTAGATTCATATATGAAATATTTTTCTCAACCACTATTCCATCACTTTTGTATCAATTGTATGTAACCTCACTCTCCCATATTCCTGAATGCCTTAGCAATATCGTAATATTCATTACGAAAATTTACAAAATTACCTTCAAGGAAATTAAGAATCTCGTTTCAGCAAAAAAAATTGGGACGATCACTGATGAAAACATTATAATTTAATTTAGTGTTTTATGTTGGATAAAGGTGATGTTCGAAACACATAAGTTAATGCGTTTTTTATGGGACTAATAACTGTAGTGTATTAAAAGAAGGATTTAATTTAAATTTCAGTTTTTAATCCTCCAAATCACACAACAAATCGATAAAATGACATACTATATAATGTATCAGA